AACTAGAACTGAACTAGAACTCAACTAGAACTGAACTAAAACTGAACTAGAACTGAACTAAAACCTAAATAGAACTGAACTAGAACTGAACTAGAACTGAACTAGAACTGAACTAAAACTGAACTAAAACTGAACTAAAACTGAACTAAAACTGAACTAAACTGAACTAGAACTGAACTAGAACTGAACTAGAACTGAACTAGAACTGAACTAGAACTGAACTAGAACTGAACTAGAACTGAACTAGAACTGAACTAGAACTGAACTAGAACAGAACTAGAACTGAACTAGAACTGAAGTAGAACTGAACTAGAACTGAACTAGAACTGAACTAGAACTGAACTAGAACTGAACTAGAACTGAACTAGAACTGAACTAGAACTGAACTAGAACTGAACTAGAACTGAACTAGAACTGAACTAGAACTGAACTAGAACTGAACTAGAACTGAACTAGAACTGAACTAGAACTGAACTAGAACTGAACTAGAACTGAACTAGAACTGAACTAGAACTAGAACTGAACTAGAACTGAACTAGAACTGAACTAGAACTGAACTAGAACTGAACTAGAACTGAACTAGAACTGAAATAGAACTGAACTAAAACTGAACTAGAACTGTGGACTAAACTCTAGTCCAGTCTATATGCCAGACTATAATAAAATAGTTAAGTCGATAATCGTATCATGTTTGTTTTCTATTAAGTATGATCAACGGACACCCTAAACATTGCCTGTCTTAAAATCATAAAAGTTGGTTGGCATGCGTTTTTATGCCAACACTGCCAAACAATATTGTTTAGACAATTCTAATGCGAAATTATGGGCAAATAAAAAAAAATTAAATTAAAAAAAAAAAAAACAAAACAACAAGAATATAAATTTATTTTAGACAAAGACCACAACAGTCTCTCCATGAGCAACTTAAGGGGTGTTTTAAAAGCCAAACAGTCTAAAATACAATTTTTGTTATGAATTTCAAATTAAAACAAAATCAATTAAGTAATTGAGAAATATAATACCAATTTAGTATTAACAATAATAAAGTGTTGTTTTAATGCAAATAAAATATAAAGAAAAGGATTAATAGAGGGTAAACAGATTCCTTCATTTGCAGTATTTTTAAAGACCTTTTAGAGAACAATAATGATGAATAGAAAAAAAGCTTAAATTTTAAATTATGAAAACAAATTTTCCAAAATGATTGTAAAAGCATTGTTTAGCCCAACACTATTGTCCTGTTGAGCATAAACACTCATGAGTCTAAAACACCAGCAGCTTAATGTTCCTTAACATTGTATAGATGATGGTGGGTATAATGGGTCATTTATAGAGAAAGTTTTTGAGGTTTGGGGGAGTCTATAGCTGATGACGATGATGATGATTTTGTTTTGAATAAACGATGACTGGACATTCACATGTCGCCGGCATATGTTTGCTTCTTTTTTTTGAAATACAAAAGAAAGAATGAATACTTTCTATTCATTACCAATAATACTTTTCTATTTTTCTAAGGGATGACCCTTGTCTTTTTTTTGTTGGTTTATGTTTTGTTAGGTTTGGGTCACTTCTCTTTACTGGTCTTGGTACTGCTTCATTGTCAGATTTGGTCTTTGTTTATTTCAGGCTTTTTTTGCTGTTTTGTGTGTTAAATACACTTCAGTTGGATTAAAATATAAAAGTGTTTAAGACACAATTTGGGGTTAAATATTCATAATGGTATTCTCCATAAAAGGGTTTGACTTGTAAAATACTTTTGTAAAATTTCTCCCGTAAGGCCGTCGGGCCTGTTCATGGCATTGAAGTGACGACCTAATAAATTTTTAAGATGTGTAAACAAATATTTACATCGTAAACTACAATGTACAAATTTAAGTGAAAATTAAGTTTAAGAATCGATTAAGTGCTGCAAATAAAATGAATTTAATTTAGCAACGAGGTCATTGCTTGGTTTAGAATAAAGAGCATAAAAGGGGTTTTGTTAGGACTATTGTTGAAAGCAAATAGTTGTGTTAATATTTATTTAGTTTGAAAGTTTTTAGTTGATAGAAATTTCTATAAAGAATCCTTTAACTGTGTTTAAAGCGGCATAAGCAAAACGGACAGACGGACGGACATTACTAAGCTCACCCTACACGCTATAAACACCTTTTGAAAAGTACATTTTATCAAATATTTTAGCAGAATTTTAGTAACGTAATTCTCTAGCATATGTCTGTAAAAATCCAAGACTTTAGCTCATAAGATAACTAAGGACTTTAGATAGTTGTTTTTAATTAACATACGGACAGACAGACAGACAGACAGACAGACAGACAGACAGACAGATAGACAGACAGACTTCACTAAATAAAATCCACTGTAAGCAAAAAGCTTTAGGAAGTTTATTTCAAACAATTATTTTAAAAGAATATCAATAATATATATCCGAGCGTATCTTTCTCCGACAACCAAGATTAAGGTCCATACAAGAGTACAGACTTTTCAAAATTTTATTTAAACCATTATACGGACAGACAGACATTACTAAATCGAATTCATTAAACTTAAAAAGCCTTTGGTAGCTTTATTTGAATAATAAGTTTTGTAAAATGTCAATAAAAAGAATGACTGGCGGATTTCAAGATTTAGAACCAAAGTTAAGTGAGGAGATAACTGGTGACCAAGAAAAATTTATTTCAACTAATATACAGACCGATGGATATTATTAAATCGTTTTCTTTATCAGTGGAAAGTCTTTGGAAATTCTATTTGCTCAACTATTTCTCGGGCGATTTAATTCACGGTTTAGTTCTTAGAGCGTTTAATCTAAGATTTAGGTCAATAGGATAAAGTGAACTTGAAAACTGAAATTTTAAAATTTTCTTCAAATATACGGACAGACGGACATTAACAAATCTACTTCAATAGCTGTAAACTACCTTTGGAATATGAGTTTAAACAAACAATTTTGCAGAATGCCCATAACAAAATTCTAGAGAATTTAGGTCCAGAAGTTGACAAAAGGTTTAGGTCCAAAAGTTAACAAAAGACTTTAAATAGTTGATTTAAACTAACATGGAAGGACGGACATCATTTAAACGGCAACATTAACTCCAACGAGTGTTTCATAATGTTCACTTCAGCAAACATTTCTCTAAATTGTAAGTTATATATCTTTGTCGGATATATATGTATAAACCAAGATTTCACTCTTTAAAATATCAGGAACCTTTAGGTTGTAGACCTTAACGAACGGAACGAAGGACACACTTCAATCTCATCAATATTTAAATGGATTTTATGGCCCCACAAATAAAAATTGTGGAAATTACAAATCAAACATGTGTAGAATATTTTGAAGATTACGACTCCACAAGATAACTGGCGTTCTCGAAAAATTCACAACAAAAAACATAAGGACAGACGGACATCACTGACGCCCTTAAATATCCAAAGACTTTGAAAGTTTAATTTGAACAAACGAATGGACAGACAGATATGGCTAAATCCCTAACGCTAGTTGAAAGAGTTTAGTGTATCGCTAATGGGGCGATTATTAGATTACAAGAAGATTTTGGTTGATACGATATCTGGGGTATTCAGAAATATGATTTCAAGAAATATATATATACTACAATACGGACGGATGTTACAAAATCGGCTACAGATTTGGTTAAATCCCTAACGCTAGTTGAAAGAGTTTAGTGTATTGCTAATGGGGCGATTATTAGATTACAAGAAGATTTTGGTTGATACGATATCTGGGGATTTCAAAAATATGATTTCAAAAAATATATATATGTACTACATTACGGACGGATGTTACAACATCGGGTCCTATCTATCAACTATGGGCCCGTCATAAAGTTTATTGAATTTAGAATACTCTGGAATATATATCGGACCCATATGATATCAGGGTCTTTTAAAAAATTACTCTAAAGTAACAGGTGGACTTTCTTTATCGTCTTTTTTATTTATGAAGGATGTTTTATGGGTCTTTGAATGAAAATTATAATTTCAATATGTTTAAGATTTACCCAAGATTTGATGCACAAGATATTCCCCCTGGATATATAGATATAACCCCATCTATCCCAAAGTACTTTTTATGTGAAATTTTGTAGAGAAACTTTAAAAAATGGAAACTGTAAATCTATTTTTTGTTAAAAAACTTAAAAATTTAAAACCGTTAAAGAAATTGTATCTTAAATTGTTTAAGATCAAGGGATTAAGGTTAAAATATGATAAATAATATAAAATATTAATTTTACAACTTTTGTTTTAAACAAAATTTTATAAAAATTAATCTATTGTTTTAAACACAAATACAAAATTTTCTCTCTATAAAGCAATGGGAATCGGTGTAAATATTTAACAGAGATTTCCGGTTTTGACAAGTCTTTTTTAAACATATATTTATAAATGTTTTTCTTATCTTAATCAAAACAATTAATCATAATTAATACCTAACTATTGTTTAACATTTTAAACAATGGAAAATTAACAAAAAAAAATTTTATATTAAAACAAATAAATTTGTTATTTGACTCTATTTTGAAAGTTATGACAGATTTCACACTGATTTTGTTTGAAAAAAATTAACAGGTATTTTCTCGTTTTAAGACAAAAACCTAAAACATAGATTTTAATTAAATGTCTAACATAACGCGCTAACAAATAATGTGTTAAAACTTCAAGGGGTGCCTAGTAAACAATATACGAAAAGGTGTTGCTTTCTTATGTAAATGAAAGAAAATTAATAAATCAATTTAAAAAAATTTATTTTAAAAATAAATCTAACTTTAACAAAAGGGTTTACAATTATAGGCCCCTTTGACTAATTGGATTTTTATTAATTTTTTTTTTTTTGTTTGTCTTTGCAGCATTGTTGGGGTTTTATTGGCAGCATCAGCAGCAGCAAGCAGAGGTGTCATCATAGTCTCTAAACATATTCAAACAATTTGTACTGGTGTTGTTGAAGTTGTTGTTAATAATTCTATGCTTGTCTGCCCAGAATGATGGAACATATTCCATCAATATCACTCTCTGGGATATCGTTAGCACATCCACTCTCTATCTCCACGGGACAAACACTCTCCAATCATTTTGGTAATAGTTCATCGGCAGTTAGTTCTTCAACCGGTAGTCATATTGAACAGTTAGCAGCAGCGGTACATCATCAGCATCATCAACAGCAACAGGCCCAACAGCAGCAGCATCAGCATCATCATAATAGTCATTTGAATTCCGCCTCTAGTCTACAACAGAGCGGAGGTAATCATTTGACTTTAAATTCTTTGTGTGGTTTACAAAGTGTTCAACATTCGACGGCTCCTACATTGGTCTCGCACAGTAACTCGGTTAGCAGTAGTTCTCAGCATTTGCAACAGAATTCTTCAGCTCATAATTATATATTACATCACGCTTCTCATCCCTCCAGTCACTTGCAAACGGTTGCTACTTCGCACTCCAATAGCTCGCCCTCACTGCACTCTCATCCTCTATCTTCCTCCTCCAGCCGTTCTTTGGCTTCTTTAAGGCAAACAGATCACTTAAATCACTCCTCGGCTAATCACAGCCACTCCTCAACGGCGGCTGATAACAGTTCCGTAGCAACGTCTTCAGCAAATTCTTCAGCCATGGCGGCGGCTGCAGCGGCTCACCTGCATCACAGTGCCCAATCATCGCCCATGACAAATTTACATCAAAATATGGGCAGTCTTATGAATAGTGGCGGTAGCGCTAGGTGGGTTTTAATTTAATACCATGTCTCCAGTAAATGGTCTCATTTTAATTGTTCCCTTTTTCTCAGCGATGTCTTTTTTAGCCTGATGATACAAAATACAACGAAACGTCAAAACGAAGAACATATAAAACGTCCAATGAATGCTTTCATGGTGTGGTCGCGGCTGCAGCGCAGAAAAATTGCCCAAGACAATCCAAAAATGCACAATTCGGAAATATCGAAGAGATTGGGTAAGTGGGATTTTAAACGACAACATTTATAAGATACAAAAGCTTTTTGTTAACTATTGTTTTTATACAAAACTTTGGAACTGGGATATCAAGAAATATTGTGGTGGTCGTGGTTTTTTGTAATTTAAAACAGAAACTTTCTCGAAGGTATGTTTGTTTGGAATTGGTTCCTTAAGATATCGGGGGTCTTTGTGTAAATGATTTCAATTTACGTATGGAAAGACGGACATTACTAAATTGACTTCAATTTCTAAAACGAATAGAAATTGGTATATAGCGTAAAGTTCCATGAAATAAGTTAGTGTCCTCGTAGTGTTCCTCGTTATAGTCAATTTTGATAATTTTAAATGCAAAGTTTTCCAACGTTTGCCTGAAAGATTACGGCAAGAATTGGATCCGCAAGATCTTAAATACAGATTTCAGGAGTGGTCTACGTCAGCGCCTACCTTGACAAACTAAGCTTACGGTAGTCTTTTTCAACCACACGCTGAGCTAGAGGCGACTTAACTACGCCCCTTTTTGACTTGCTAAGATCAATAAAGTATCAATTACTGAAACCGATCCATGTATAAGCTCTTTACTTAAGTACTCGAGCAATATAATGTCTGACCATTACAGTTTCGTTGTGGAATGTTTGGCAAATCTTCAGATGATATCTAAAGTCTTCCTCGACTGCTAAAGTCTCTGTTGTTTCGACAACTGCACTTAGAACCGTATTTGGTAGGCAAAAGTATGATATCTATCAATAAGTCTAGACATCGTTCCTTCCACACATGCGGTAGTTAAGGAATGCACAGAGTAAACTTTGACAAAAATCCCGGAAAAAGAAGAGAAGTGATAATACCATTACCGAACCTTATATATCATCCGGCACACACAAGATAAAACCCATACAACTAATACTTTCATGAGAGAGTGTGTAGCTAGTTCCACATACTCTCTCTATAGCGATCCGGTGACATCAACTAGTCTAGACATCGTTTCTTCCACACATGCGGTAGTTAAGGAATGCACAGAGTCCCGGAAAAAGAAGGGAAGCGATAACACAGGGATAGGATACCACACAATTTTATCACCATCCAACCCATCACAGAACCTTATATTTCATCCAACACATACAAGACAAAACCCATACAACACATATAGTCATGAGAGAGTGCGTAGCTAGTTCCACATACTCTCTCTATAACGATCCGGTGACAGCAAATCATTCCTAACATTTAGTCTCATAATCACTGCTTCGTTGGGTGATGTTGCCGAGACAAAATCAATCTTTAAACCAATATTCCTTTCCCACGATTTGGGTTTAAACTACGTGCAACTCGAAGGAACCTTTCTAACATACACTACAAGGCAAAGTCGGAAACAATGAACGACAGGCAACCAGATAAGTACCAGGTACCAGATAAGTAAGGATCTCTGGTAGGACCACGAGTCAATTGACTACTGTTGGAGTCATTTATAACCTCAGGATTCCAATAGCAGGAGAGGGCGGTCAACCAAGGTAGTAACATGCCCCAGGTTGTTATCAAAAAAATTCGAAAAGTTGATTTGGGTTTCAACTAAGTGCACCTCGAAGGGACCTTTCCAATATCCACCACAAGCCAAAGTCCGAAACAATGAACGGCGAGCAACCGGTACCAGATATGTTAGAATCTCTGTAACTTATGGAGTATGATGCCTCAAGATTCCAATAACACCATAGTGATGGCAGTTCATCGATGACACATGCTCCAGGTTGATTTGATATCATTCGAAGAAGATATTCGGCAATAATTGATGCCTGAACATCACTAAATTTATTTCGCTATCTAAAGCATCATATTTACTCGATTCCTTCCTCTTTTAGCGGGAAAGTTCACAAAGTTTAAACCATCATTGTTGTTGTAATAGTACCACTACCAACCATTCTACACTTGTTCTATTTATAATGAAACTCTTTTCAAAGGTTTCATCTTTCTAAACTAAACAAACTTTCAAAATATGAGAACAAAAACCCAAAAAACACTTAAACAAATTTGTTTTCACACTTAGATGTCTTCTCCCAGGCTTTTTAAACACCTACAGCCTGCACCAAGCCATCAACAATTGTTTAAATAACTACTTTGACCTAAGCACTTTTATAATCTCTTGCCTAGCTTTCAAATATTGAATGTAAAACATTTTAAATGAATATTCAATTAGAAAAAAACCCTCAAATTTCGCCATAATCATTGGCACACTCAGTTCAACACATTTCCCACACACTCTCTCTATCCCTTAGCCGCTAACACTTTACTTTCCTTTAAACAGTTGGCCGTTGAATGACTAAACTAAATTTGATTCAAAATCCTTAACGAGCAAACGAGTGTTTGACAGACAGACAGACAAGCCAGTTAACAATTTTTTGTATTAATATTGTATGTCTAGATAAATTTTTTGAAGCGAATGACAAAGATGACATCAACTGTCAAACAATGACACTAGTTTTATCACAAACATAAAACAAACAAATAGATTTTTCCAAAATGACACAACACTATACAGGAGTAAAGAGAGAGAGAGAGATTAAGCTCTTTAAAAACCACTACTCCCTAAAGCTACCAAAAATGAAGGGTTGCCAAAATCACGCCCCTGAACAAAACATAATCTCAGATATCAACCTTTTTGTTGCAAGTTAACTAGTTGCAGCTTAGTTAAGTAGTTCGCTTTAAATAATCCCCGTTTAAGCCAAATGAGAAAATAGATGACGCGTGTCCCACAAGTAATGCTAAACAACCAGTCATGTAACCACTGATTGAGAATCTTACAAAAATTTTTTTAATTTAATTTGAATTCAATTCCATATACATATATGAGTAGTTTGGGTTTTAATTTTTCCAGCCCAAAATCAGCTTGTCATATATAGGGTGTATTTGCCTTACGTTTGACACGTGTCCTTGGTACTGTATTAACTTTACTCTCTATTATTATTTCAATACAACGTCGTCACTTTTCTTACTACTCTACCACCCCACCCCCTTCCTCCTTCTATACTAATCCACATTTGATGCCGACGAGACGAGATTTCTTTTAATGTAACTTTTTCATTTAGCATAACAAAGGACCAGAGTATGGTGATGTCTTTAAAATTACCCAAAATTTCTTAGACACCAGGCATATTGTCAATTGTTGTGACACAATGACACAGCGAAGGCAAACGAATTTGCTGAAACACTAACGCTGTTTGACAGACTTTGCCTGTTTCAACACAGATAGTCAGCAAATAAACTAGAAATTTATCGTCTTAAATATCATAAGCACCTTGTGTTAAGGATAATTGAAAATTGTTAAGAAAAATACCACAACCTGATTTATATTTCTAAAGGTATTTGCATTAATTATTATAAAATAAATATGCGAAAATTTTAAGGGAATAAGTGTGAATGTAGAAATGTTGCATATAAATGAAAATTATCTTTAATTGAAAACTATTTCCCAGATTAGTTGTTTGAAAAAAGATTTTCCTCTTGGTTTAACATTTAATTTAAAGATAAGACAATGTTATTCAATATCATGCACAATGAGGGATTTGAGATAGCTTATGGACTCTAAGTTTCCTCGGAGACAACAATCTTCACTAAAAAATTTTGGAAGTACGCTAAGATCAGCCTTAGCTTATACTCCCTATAGGCACAACTACACAGACTCCGACGAGAGGTCAGAGAAACTCTTTTTTCCACAACCATTCCCATGGAAAGCTTAAAAATCCTCGAATCAATATGATCCTTTATCAATCCTTGCTATTCTCTTCATCATTGAGACTAATGATCATGGAAATCAATAACCGGAAATGATTGTATATGTCAAATTAAACGTGTTAGATGATTATCTTAATAAGAATATCACATTTAGATCAATTGAATAGGGAAACTTCGATCGTTTACTTTCCTTTCCGAGTGATAAAGGAGATTACGAAACGTGATCTCCACTAATTATGTGGATGTTGTAAATTGTTAGGCAAGTATTGCTTGTATATAGGTATGATCTTTTTCCAAATGATCCATTAGCCATTTAGGGATCAATTGTATAGGGAAGACGCTCGATCACTTTCCTTTCCGAGTGATAAACGAGATTATGTGGATGTTGTAAATTGTTAGGCGAGTATTGCTTTATATAGGTAGGATCTCTTTCCAAATGATCTATAAGCCATTTAGGGATCAAGAGAATTCTGGTTCTGAACAAGCAGAAGTAAAAGATGTAAAATTTCTCAAATAGAAATCTGTGAAAATCTAAGATCACTAAGAGTTCTTTAGACGTTAAGATATATGGGGAAGTCGCGACATAACTCCAGCAAACGTCAATTCTTCAATCCGAATATTCAAGTTGTACAACTCTATAGGATAATCCCTTTTAAAGCGAAGGTTTGTCTTATATTAACACAATCCGATGTTTTAAACGGATTTAGAAGAATAAATACTTTTGTTCATGATCGAAGAGAACTGGCTAACCTAGATCCTCTAACACGGATGTTCAAATTGTATCACTTTATAGATTAACCCGTTTAAAACGTAGATTTTATGCCGTTGAAAAGTGGTAGTATTGACTTGCACGAAGATGGATCTATAGGATAATCCGTTTTAAAACGAAGATTTAACTTATATTAACACAATCCGATGTTTTTAAAGGATTTATAACAATAAATACTTTTGTTCATGATCGAAGAGAACTGACTAACCTATATCCTCTAATACGGATGTTCAAATTATTGGACTTTATAGGTTAACCCGTTGTAAACGCAGATTTCATGCCGTTGAAAAGTGTCAGTTTTGATGTGCACGAAGATTGATCGCTGGATGATTGCTATAAGCATGATCAGTTGAATTTATCGGATATGAACATTAGGAATTACCTTCGCACATGATCGTAGTGTATTGACTCAGATGTCACAAAGGAATCTTAGTTGTAGGACTAAAGTGCCTTACTAAATGGGATCGCTAGTTGAGTGCTATAAGAGTAATCAGACGAATTTATTGGATATG